TTTTCTGGGATGGGGGGGGGGGGAACAGATCTCTCAGTTAGAGAAGGCTGCTCCTGCTAATTGTAGAACAGCTTGAAAGAAATACAAAGTGTAACCTGTAGCGGGGGGATATGTGATAGTATCTTCAACTTACAAACTCACCTGCTAGAAGTGTTTATTGTACAGCAGTGACAAGTTATAAAGCCATCTTAAAAAATTAAAAATTACATAGGAACTAGCCTGGAAACAAATTTATGTGTGTTAAAGATCCTTGGTTCATGCTATGGCCGGCTTAAGGCACAGACATCCATGAGAAGTGCCTTTTGGCTATTTATACAGCTGTAGGATTTTAATTATGAAGCGGGAAGAGCTTTTAGATTATTCAACATTAACAGACATCTGCCAAAGAAGATCTAGAGCAGTTTAAAGCAGGGATTAAAGCAAAGCTTCCTTCCTTTAGACTTCCACAAGGGCTGTTAGCATTTTAAAGAGGTTTAAGCTTTGGTTTAATTGCAAGTGAAAATCCTGAGCATTAATAAACACAATCAATGGAATAGCAAAGCATGACAATGTTAATGGAATCCAGGGGTCTGATCCTGTGTACTTCACTCAAGACAAACAATTGTTCTTCTCTCTTACAGATTTTTTTTTTTCAGCTGGGCTACAACTACAGGAATAAGGTGCTTTGTACTAAAAACAAAAAATGTAAGTTTTCTTCTGCCTCTCCCTGTTAGATACCTCCAGTACTTGGGAAGGTGGGGGGAAAGGACTGTAAAACAAATTACAAGAGGAGGAAATTTAAGGTATGAATTAAAAAAAAAAAAGCTAGAAAATAAAGTAAACTTACACCACGATCAAGAGCGTAATTAACATCTGTCACAAAGGTTACTGGTCTGGAGGGATCGAGAGCTTTAGTGTGAGCTATCACTGTCCTGTTTGCAAACAGTAAAGCAAGAGTTGAACAACAGCATGGAGCAGCATAGCCCCATTTCCCCAAGCTCTCTGTCCTTTGATAGCTGGTTGCTATCCCACCTGAAAAAAGACCAGAGTGAAAGTATACCAAACATGGGCATGTTAGTGAGTCTGTTGGTGCCAGCAACTTGGAAGCTGGAGAAGGGACAGTGAGTTTGAAGATGAAAATGTGAGAAGGGTGGCAGAAAGTTTCTAACAGATCCTGGGATGTGTTCCTGCAAAAGCATGAGGCCCCAGCCCTGCACCTCAGCCTGCAGAGCAGTCAAAGGGTGGCTGCTTTGGAGGAAATTGAATGAGAGAGGAGACGAATAATGGGATGGTCAACTTCTGCTGCTACCTTGACATTGCAGGAGGGTGGTGGATCATTCTGAAGAATGAAAATTCACAATTACCTCTTAATGCACTTAGAGCTACTAGGGACAGTCTGCTACCCCATTCCAGAGATGACTCTTGGCTACCCAAAGCTTAAATCTCTTTAAAAATAAAACCCAGGGGTCTACAGGGACTGGAAGCAGTGCCTTGAAGTGGGGTGTCACAATACTCTGCAGAACAAATAACTAGCACTAACTGAAGAACCTTGTCTTCAGAATTGAAGACCAATTATGTTACAGCTTTGCAGCAATTCTCAAAGAATTTGGCACTTGTCTTCCATTGGTAACAAGGAATATCCTGTTCCCATCAGGTCTGTTTTTGCTTGACCCTTAGGTCAAGAAGAGTTACTCAGATGGATTCCTGGTGATTTTGCAGAGGCTTACTGGTTCAGAAACAACAGGTTGAGACTGTTGTGTGGTTCTGAGCATCAGTTCAACACATGCAGCAGTTGCACCTTTAGTTTGCATCTGTAGGGACTGTTTCAGGGTTCCCTCAAAAATGCCCGCCCTCTCTTTACTACTTCTCTGTGCCATCCCAAAGGAAGAAGATGCATCATCTGCCAGGATTCAAGCCTCAGCTTGGCGTACAACCACATGCACTTACTTAAAGTAGTAAGCTGCTGGGGGCAGCTCCGATGCCGGCTCATTGGCTACTGACCACATCACGACTGACGGCCTGTTCTTATCCCTGCGGATCAGCTCCTCCATCACAACAAGATGATGCTGCAAGGACTTGTTCCCAAAGCTCTCACTTGAAGACAAAAGGAAACGAGACCCCGTGAGGTGAGGGTATAAAATCCAACCCCTTTGCCTTGCCCTGGGAAAACTCAAGCCCTTGGGCTGTATAAGCACAGCTGAGCCTTGACACAGAATATGGCTTCTACCCCATTTCCCCAAAGCCCGCTGCACAGTTCAGGGCTGTGGTTTGGGCTCATTAACTGAGCCAGCCCAAGTGACACGATGGCCATGTGGCAAAACGCCCTCCGGTTGCCCAACCTCACTGAGCACACGTGGCACAACGGGACGATTTCTAAATAGAGCAAAGTACGTCCATGATCAGGACAACGGGCGCTGCGGGACGGGAAGGGGATGCTGTGGCAGGGCTGAGCACAGAAAGAAGGGGAAGGGGGGTTGCTTACGGCATTTTAACCCCCACGCCCGGACACTCGTCGATCACCACGATGCCGTAGGCATCGCACAGGTCCATGATCTCCTCGGCGTAGGGGTAGTGGCTGGTGCGGAAAGAGTTTGCCCCCAGCCAGCGCAGCAGGTTGAAATCCTTCACGACCAGGGGCCAGTCGAAGCCTTTGCCGCGGATCTGAGGGGGAAGAGAGACACCACACCCCATCACGCTGCCG